TCACCTGCTACCGAGGCCAGGGGGTCACCTTCCTCATTGCATGATGGTACTAACTGTCAGCCTAGAGTTGTTCCCTGTGGTCCCCACAAACTGACATGGGCCTTTGGGCTAAACTGCTGGCCCAGGTTATCCCATAAGGGGATCAGCCATGACCAATTGGTGCTGCGACCCTACCCGGGCCTCACTGGCCAGCAGAGACAGCAGCGTGCCCGGAGTCCAGTTTTGGTGAGGTTCTGACATTTGCCGCCCTCCCTGCCCACTTTAGCCCTCTCTCCCAGGTGCGTTGCTCCCCAGGCTAAGGAGAGAGGTCCTCCTTCCAGAAGTGCTCGTGAAGGTGCCCTGAGCACAGCTCCCACCTCGCCCTCACTCTCCTGGGGTCCCCAGAATGCTGTCGGCTGGGAACATGGCAGAGCTTTGGCCAGCTGTCAGCATGGCCCAGCTGCAGGGCCCGTCTGCTCCTAGTCAGTCAGTGTGGGTGGTTGATCTCTGTTCCTGTCCTGAAAATGGATACTCTAGAAATACTGGGCCCGAGTCCTGCCTCGTCTCGTCCTCTCTCACTCCAGTCACGTGCTTTTCTGTTGATTTTTTTTTCTCCCAGTTACTTTCCCCTTAAGTTCTCCGTGTAAGTGGGTTTATTGTAACTGCCGCTGTGACCAGCCCCGGGTGCCAGAAGACACACTGACTAGCACTCACGGGTGAACCGTTGGTCCTGATGCTAGGTGGATTCATTTGGTCCAAGTATGTACATCCAGGCACAGTTTGCCATGGGTTACGATTCTTGCTCAGGCAGAGCTGAACACTGGAAAGGTGTATCCTGAAAGGCGAGTGTTGAGTATGAGTCACACTGGCCTCATGAGTGCTTGTGGCCAGTGTGGAAGGGCCCGGGGTGTAATTGTCAGACAACAGGGAACCGAGGACGCAGTCTGAGGACCAGACACAGACTGTTCCATGTGATGATGTCGGCCCATAACGCTGTTGATTTGAGGTCTGTCGGTCTCTTACTGGGTGTCTGCTTGGTTAATAAGGGGGCATGCTATTTTGGTCCAAGGCTAAGTAGTCTTGTCATTAAAATATGCAGACCTTGCTTGTTAACTATGCCTGATGATAAGGAGTTTGCATGGGGATGGGCTCAGTTTATGAGGCAAACGGGGTGAAAAGTACCTGGTGAAGGTGGCCCCCGATCCTCAGCCTTCTCTTCTAGCCTTCCTTCAGGCGGGCTTTCTGAGGATGGAAGGCAAGGGGGAGAGGTTGTTACGTAACTTGGAAGGATCTAGAAGGGCGGCGGGAGGCAGAGATGAGTACGACCTGTGTTACCACCACGGGGCATGCCCTCGTGCAGCGAACAAGTCCTGATTTTATGTAGGAAGGGCTGCACCTCTGTTTTCACGGTGCCCTGTGTCGGTTTCTTCATAATGACCGGCGGTAGCTCCTTCCAAGCTCTGGACCTCCATCTCAGACAATATGCTTAATTCCACTCATGAAAAGGGGAATCACATCCACCATATTTCAAGGAACAGGTGGGCATTTGGGTTTTGTTTCTGTTTTTTTCTCTTTAAGGAATCCAGACTGTGTTTGTGTGTATGTGTGTGTGAGAGAGAGAGAGAGACAGAGAGAGAGACGCCTGGTCCACTCATGAAGAGATTATCAAATGTACTAGCTTTTAAAAAGCAAAATCTTATACATGTATAGGAAGATATATTCTAGTTTGGTTATTTTCTAAATAAGCACCTCTCTTTTCCAGCATAGAAAGAGCTGCATGCAGGTTTGTAATCGGAGAATTGTTAGATTGTGTGCTTTTGTGATGGACCTATTTTTCCAGATGAACACCCTGGTCTGAATGTTGGCCGAGAGCCTGTGGGGTCCCAGGCTGCCCCGCAGGGGCCGCACGTGTTCACCATGGGATTGGATTTGCTTGGCCTTTTCAGTGGAGTGCTCCCGTGCTGCTCCTGGGGTGGTTGGGGACTGGGGGCAGTCCCAGAGACTGGAGGAACTTGAAAGATTGTTCATGGAATTCCTTGGTGGTCATCCCTCGGATCCCCCTTGATGGTGAGCTCCTTCAGGACAGGAGTCACGCTTGGGTCAGCCTCGTGTTCCCACCAGGCCAGGTTTGCCGTTGGCATAGCCGAATGGGTGGGTGGAGGACGAGTCACGAGGATGCACCTGCTGGCCTTGCTGGGGCCTTTGGTTGCACCTTTACTGCCCAAGGAGCTGACCACAGGGCTTCCCAGTGGACTTCTACGAGGGGGGTCCTTGGAGTTGTACAATGGCTTGAGTCACCCTGGCTGCAGATTGAGCAAAACAGCTCTTCTACTTGCATCTGTTGAGCAAAATGTCTGTTTTACTGGTCACTTGAAAATGCTATGCTATTCTATTCTATCTAAAATGCTACTTGAGGAAAACTAAAAGTTTGACAGAATTTGTTCAGATTTCCAGGATCTGAAACCTATACGTTTATGTCTGCCTGTGGATAGAAGTGACCTCTAATGACAATGTAGGTATGCATACTTAAATCAGTATTTCACTTTTGAAATACTCAGAACATTATCCAGAGATAAACAGAGTAAAAATCATTTTAATCACTACCTTTTGGCTGTGGGGGAGATACTCCCAAAGAACAGTGCACAGAGTCCTGGGGGGACTAATCTTTTAGGTGGCCAATGCATCAGCAAAGGTGACGCATGAGTGAGTTATGCCTAGAGGGGTGTAGGTGTAGAAGGACCAGTGTCCCAGGTAGGCGGAGGCACAAGGCATCTTGGGGCGACCCTGCCATAGACTGGTATTGGGGGTGGGGGCAGAGCTAGCACAGCCAACCTGATCCTAGTCATTTGAGGGGAAGGGCAGGTCAGGGTACAGCCCCAGAGGAGGACACTGGAGTGGCAATAAAAAACCCAATAGCTACAATGGCAGTGATTGCCCTGTGCCAAGACTTTGTGTCTCTATGTTTCTTAGTTACTCTCATTTTCCCATTTCATAGGTGAGGAAACTGAGGCTCAAGGATTAAGGAGTTTTCTAAGGCTCCAAAGTCTCCAACCCCCAGGATCGAAATGCAACTTTGACCGGCATGCATGCCTCTTTGTGGAATTGCACTGACCTTGGAATGAGGAGCAGGGCCTGTCCCTGAGAACTGTGATGGGCAGTGGTGTGACTAACTGGGCATCTGCCTGTCCCGCTGGCACTTCATGCCAGCCAGACCTTAGGACCTGGAGTGGCCAAACCTCAGCTGGTGGCTTAGAAGCTTCAAAGTCACAGCTGCAGTTGTTGCCACAGGGGGTCCTGGAGACTCCCGAGTCCCTGGAGTCTCAGGGCTGCACAGATAAGCCCTGATGATTAAGGAAGGAATTGGCCACCTGTAAAATTAGTTCCCCATCCCCTCAGGCCCCTCTGCACCTTTGCAGGTAAGATCGGTGTCTCCCTGTAGCCATTGCCTTCGGTCTAGTTGACTGTTGGGAATATGGCAGTACACAGAAATGGAAGTTTAATGTGAGTTCATTGTAGAGCTAAACTTCAGGTCTTGCCAGAGGTCCGTGTGTCATGAAGACATGGAAGGTGATGCTGGGGAACTCTTGGTTCTCACATGCTGACGAATGAGGGTCTGAGAGAATTAGGCCAGATGGAGGAGGGCGTGTGATGAGTATTTTAGAAAGCATTGGAATATCAAAGATTAGAGAAGGCTTTTAGAAAATTGATGAAGCCCTTGTGTAGTTTGCAGAAATGATCTTTCTGATTGTCTCATTTTATATTTTTTTGTTCTTTAGAACAAATTAGAACATAGTTATAAATGCATGTTCTTACTTTTTTTAAAAAAAATCCTCACCTGAGGATATTTTTCCATTTATTTTCAGATAGAGTGGGAGGGAGGGAGGGAGGGAGGGAGGGAGGAAGAGAGAGAGAGAGAGAGAGAGAGAGAGAGAGAGAGAGAGAGAGAGAAACATAGATGTGATAGAGACACATCAATTGGTAGCCTCCTGCATGACCCTGACCAGGGCCTGGGACATACCGCAACTGAAGCACATGCCCTTAACTGGAATTGAACCCATGACTTTTTGGTCCATGGGCTGACTCTCTAACCACTGAGCCAAACCGGCCAGGACTAAATGCATGTTCTTAATTTGTCAACTGAAATACAAAATAGACTTATCCCTCTAATTTTAGTCCCTTTTCCCCCAAAGTAATGAAAGACTCATTCAGTACTTTCAACAATAAAGATAAATTTAAAATAAATAAATAAGGAAGACCCAGTCAGATTTTTTCTGTCTACACCCTCAGTCAAATCACCACTATGAAATGATGGTCGTTGTTCCAATGAATTTACTGAAAAGATACTGCCACCCCACCCTGACCCCCTCGGTTAACTGGCACCTGTTCTTATCCCAGTCCAGCAAAAGAAATGAGGTTGAGGTGCTTGGCAGTTCTTCAGCAGCGGACAAGATAACTGTCTTGTCGAAACGTGCCGCATATGTATTCTTGCTGGTCTCTGGGAAACTCCCAAAGGAATAATGTCTTCCCTGTTTCTAACTGCTTTTGAAATCATGGTCATCCAGAGACCATAACTTTTTTATTGCATCCTAATGATTTTATTGTACCCTAATTGAGATTTTATTTAATATGGTTTTAAATTTTAATATTTATCAGCTAACTGGGTACAGATTACTAATATTTGAATACTTAACAGTATTATGTAATGCTTGAGAAAAACTGCGCGGTACCCAAGTTGTATAAGAGGCACCTTGTCTGTTTTTGTCTTTTGGGGGAAATTGCAGCATAAAAAGGATCAGTCACTTCCCTAATTACCAAAACGCAGCCCTATAACTGGGAAAAGGCAGGATGGGCCTGGCATTCAGGGTGCAGGCTCGGAACACAGCAGCCTCTTACAGACAATTTTTGTCTGATCTTTTTATTTTTAATGAATTTTGTTTCTTAGAACAGTTTTAAATTTACAGAAATGCCTGATCCATTTCACAATGCAGTTTTAACTCCCAGGTTTCTCCCTCTCTCTGCAGACGCCGCCTCATCTCCCAGAGATCGTCCTTGGAGACCCTGGAAGACATTGAAGAGAATGCCCCTCTACGGAGGTAGGTTTCTGGTGCTGCATTCTCTCTATATAAACCGCTTGCTATACAAGATCACAGCCAAAGTTTGCTTTAAAAAATTTGTTTAAGTTCTTGATCTACAGAATTAAATTTTTTAAATGACCTTCTGATCCCCAGACTCATAGTTTGGAAACCCCCACCCTGAGGACCTTTAGAAATAGAAAACAATTAGGAATTTACATATTAGAGTAGCCCAGTTTGCACGGGGATTCGGGTGCTGTTTTCCTTTCATCTTGAAAGCTGCCGCCTGACCAAGAAGAGCCCATCATGGCCCAACTTTTCCCGGTACAGTGTCACAGTCCTGGGCTTCATTAGGAGGTGCCCACAATGTCACCGTGTAGCCAGTTGCCGAAGAGACTCTATTAGGAGAACTGTGAGTGTTCCCTGGGGGCTGAAAGTGGTCCATTTCTCCCTGGAGATTACAGAAGCGCTTTTGAGACATCTTTTTTTGGGTGACGGCAGTTGCTGAGCTGTGTGCCTCTGACTGGCAGCTTTCCCTCCTCTGATCCGGCACCTTTCCACAGGCCCATCTGCACCGCAGTCCCGCCGGCCCTCCTTGGTGGAGGAGACAGTACTCACACGCTGCATCTTTCCTAGTCCTCACTGCAGCCCCCCCCTGTGGCCAGCATGGGGGGCTCCGCCCTGCAGAGGGAGCTGCTGCAAGATGGGATGCTGGCTCTACAGGGCATGCGTGGCAGGGGTGGAGGGGAGGCCTGTGGGAGGACGTGCTCCCCTCAACTCGCACCAGCTCCTCTGGATGTGGGAGTCCCGGCTTCTCCCTTTGAGCCCGGGAGGGTGCTGATGTGGAGGGAGGCATTGCACCCTGCAGCCGGCTCCTTCCCTGCCTCGAGCTCCACTCCTAGGTCCTGGGTGTTGTCCACAGACCACCTGGATGGAGGAGGGAGCATAGACAGGCCTGGGTCTGGCCAAAAGTGTCAGGTGACCCTGAATCTCATCACAGACATTATTCCAAAGAGAAAGCCAGGGCCAGACAGTTTGATTTTCACTTTTGAAGTCTTTATGGGAACGGTTGTGACCTCTGGGTCCATCCTAGGTGAGTGGCATGTAGCGTTTGGGTGCAAGTATTCTTCCATCCGGCACTGTTTTAAATGATGGGAGAAGGGCTGTTTCCTTGGCGTCCTACAAAACGCTGCATTAAAAATCAAACGAGGGAGCTGGCGCTGCTTCAAAGTAATCAGCGCGCATGGAAGAGAAACGTTCTCAGGTGGCACCAAGTGGCTTTGGCATTTGAGCAGGTACCACAAATGGAAAAATCAATGAATAGAGCTGAACAGCCCCTGGTGTTCCTGAAGGCTCCAGAAGCCAGAGCTGTGAGCGCAGTGTTGTAGCTGTGAGCCAGGGAAACCGGGTTAAAAATGTTACTCCCTCTTCGGGGATTCCAGGTGGTTAAGGGGCCGAGGAGGGGGTGGGCACTGTGTTCCTGGTCACGTGTCCCGCCACCCCTGTGCCCTCCTCTCAGAATCTGTCCAGGCTGGTCTCTGCTTCTACCCTTGTGCCTCTGATAGCACAAACAAGCAGAGTAAAACCGGCTTATCTCCCTCAACTGTAACTTCATCCAACTCTTACAGAATGCTCTACCGAATTTCCAACAAATCTTGTATAAATACATTTAAAAATAAGACAGAAATCAAGGGAATATAGGCAGTTAAAAAGTCTTTATTTTCCCTAATGGACTTCTTTTTTAATTAAAAAATAATTTCTTAGGAAATTACTTGTCCCTAGGAAATAAAATTAGCATGGCATAGTAGGAAGGGACCTTAGTTTAGGAGTCAGGGGAGTTGAATTCTTGGCCTGATTCTCCTGCTAACTGGTTATGTGGCCTTGGAAATTCACTTAGCTTCTCTGGGGCCTCAGTTTTCCCGTCTATAAAATGGGAGGGGCAGATTGGCTGATCACTGAGGTCCTTTCTAGCTCCCCGATTCTGTGAAATGAATAAACCATTAATGACACTGAAGCACTTGGGGAACTGGGGGCAGAAGCCTATTAGCTCAACTTGCCTTTACACTCAGCACATTGACCAAATGGCTCCGAGGCATCTATTAAAAACCTTTTGCATAATTAAGTGTATCCTGTAATCAGTGCTAACAAGAAAGAGCTAATCTTTCATTAAATTAGTTCTTCACTTAATTCTATCCTAATTTAATTTTGCATCACTTAAAGTGTATGTTTGTAAATGGATATTTACACGGTAATTCAGAAGGTTTCGAAATTAATTCGGTCTTTGCTTAACCTGCCACAACCTGAGTGCTCAGTCTTCCTGTTTCCTTGGCAATTGTTGCTAATGCCACAATTCTCTTAAAGCATTTCTTAGGTTCCCTGGTGGGTTAGTTGAATGCTTAAAAAAACCCAAGACAACAAACAGCTCCTTGAAAGAGGAGCCCATGCCTCTAGAATTGGATGCTGATATCAACATAAAGCACCTTTGTTAGGTTCTCCTTTTGCTTGCTTTTCTCTTGTGCATCACAGTTTGTTAGTAAGTTTCCTGGGTTCTACCTACAACTCCAAGACCTGAGCATTTACAAGGAGAGGGTTCATAGATTGAAGTGTTTCCACTTGCCTGGTGGTTACTTAGTATCCTAGAAATAAGGACCTAGGACTCCCTACTTGTGTCCAGAAAAAACCTCAGTTCATCTGTGGCACATGTGGCGGCCATCACCACCTGCCCCAGTTTTCTAGTCTGTCTGGGTTGGTGGGTGCTGGTTGGTGCTCTATGAAGTGATTACTCTACTCTTCCTTCCCCTGCTGGTGCTGACAGTCACTTATGGCTCTTTTGCTGACTTCCAGTTTCTGCAGGAGCCTTGGGGATTTTGTTCTCAAACCTCAAGGGCAACAGCAGCTCTTTCCACAGGCACAGGAGGCGGGGAGCCTCCCTCCTCGGGGCTGGGATTGGCCAGCTTCTCCCCACGGGGGCAGGACCGGGAAGGCACCTTTCACAGTCTTGCTCTGTGCCTGCTGTCCTCAAACTGGCTGGCTCAGCAAGCTCTCCTTGTCCAGAGATTAATGGAAGCACACCTTTACACTGCGTGTTTCTGGAATCTTCTGTGTGTGAGAGAGACAGTTGGGGACCTTGAGTGACTTGCAGACTCAAGCATTCATTTCTGGAGGTAGAACTGGGGCAGTTTGGGGTCCTGGGTCTGCTCCAGAGAGCTGCTCCAAGAAGGCAGAATGAGGCTCTATCCCCTTGAGCCCAAAGAAGACTGATTTTGGGTTTAGCAGCCTGGAGTGGGGAGTGGGATTGGTGGGTGCTATCTGCTGTTCACCCCCTTCCTGAAGTCTGCAGGAAGCATCTACTAAATGCCCTCAGGCAGGGCTCTGCAAGTCTGCAAATCTTTATTTTTTTATTTATTATTTTATTTAATTTTTCCTTTATTGATTTTAGATAGAGAGGAAGTAAGAGGGAGAGAGAGATAGAAACATCAATGAGAGAGAACATCAATTGGCCACCTCCTGCATGCTCCCCACTGGGGATCGGGCCTACAACCTGGGCATGTGCCCTGACGGGGAATCGAACCGGTGACCTCTTGGTGCATGGGTCGATGCTCAACCACTGAGCCACACCGGCTGGACTGACTGCAAGTCTTAAAATAATTTATTTAAAACCAAGAATTCATGATCCTTAATAAGGACTACAGTTTTAACAATGTAGGTGGCAGGTAGTAACAAAATATTCACCTTTTGTAGCCAAAGGTTTTGATAATCAAGACACCTAAAATGTGTAGATGAATATTTACGTGTATGTACAAATGCATGAACGTGCATATTTGTATTTGGCCATGTCACTTGACAGTTTATGAAGCTCCTGTACACATCATTGCATTGACTCTTCACAGCAATGCCAGGGAAGGAACATTACTGGTGATCGGTCAGGGTCTGAAGTGAGTTTAGGGTGAGGGCTGGGAGGACCGTGGTTTCTGCTGATGCATCGCACAGGGCCACACAGGCTGTGGACACTGCTCTGAGGTAGTGGACATGACAAGAAATGGACTTTCCCTCTCCTAGACCCAAGGCCAGGGGAACCCCCTTTTCCTGATGGAAGTCACCAAATACCTGATGTCATGTCTTTGCTTCGGTTGGCACTTATTCACTAGGATTGTCTGCAAGTTAAATCACATCTTAAGTTGCTATTTCTGATGAAAAAGATATTCCATGCCCTCTGGGAAAAGACTTCCAGAAAGACTGCCCTTCCTAGAGAGTGGATGAAGGGGTTTGGGGGGATGTACACCCTGAGGTCTGGACCAGGGGCATCACCTAATTTCCCCTGAGCTCGGCCATTGGGGAATTTTAGAGATTGGAGTTGCTCTGCGGGTCTGTGATGCTGCCCATTCCCTGGCCCTGTGCCTGCCCTGCCCCACGCCCCACCTGCCCGCAACGGCACCTTCTTGTTGGGTCACCTTGTTATTCTTGTACCTGAAGCCTCAAAGTCAGAACTGACTGAACTTGGGGGTGGCCCCAGCCCAGACCTCGCAGTGGCTTTGGGCAGCTGGGCACAGCTCTCCAGATCTTCCTCGCTGAGGCGTAAGTTCTCGGGTCCCCACTTCCAGTGGCAGAATCAGCCCTTGGGGCCCGTGGTCAGAAAGGTCGAAGTAAACAACAAAATTTGGTAGCAAAATCCAAAACAGAAAAGGCTCAGTTTCCTTTTTCAAGAAAACACTAAACTTCAGACTCTTGTTTGTTGGGTGTTTTGCCTTTTTTTTTTTTTTTTTCTTGTTATTGCAGCTGTGTGACTTAGACTTTGCCAGGTAACTCTGGAAAAAAAAGTACACAAATGCGATCTTTCCAGCCTGTGGGCTGTTCTGTTATCCTGCAGGGTGAGCACGTCGCATATTCCAGGGAAAAAAAATCATTGAATTCAATTCATTTTGTTCGGCATTTATTTAAAATTTATCTTAAAAACAAAAAAGAAAAGAAACAGCCACTCGCTGGCCTGTGAGTCCCAGGCAGAGCAAAGCTGTGACTTCTAGGCATAGGAGTCTGGGAACTGAAGGCAGTTTAGGCCAGAGTCCAGCTACAAAAGAAAAATGAGTCAGGGTTGTTTTTAAACTGAATTTTCCAGTGTTGTTTCCCCTCTAAATCTTTAAATTTATAGTTTTCTGTTCCCATTACCTGTGTTGATACAGGAGGGTTTTTTTTAAGATGACAAGAAAGACTAATGTCTTTGGAATCCGGGTAGGTAATGTTATTATAACTGAGGACAATAGTTTTCATTAGCTGGCTTTTCAGGGACCCATATAAATTATTATCAGTATTATCAAGGAAGTTGTCTGTCGCTGGGGTTTTTTTAAGCTTCCTTGCTTCCAGCCATATTGTCCTCATTATCCTTGGGGTGACTCAAACCGTTTGTCTGGTCTTTCCTTCCTGTCTTTGTGTGGAGATGTCTCAGCTGTCCAGCGGGCAACTGACTGTATTTTTGAAATGACTTTATTTTTCAGATGTCGAACTCTCTCAGGTTCGCCCAGACCAAAGAACTTTAAGAAGATTCATTTTATCAAGAACATGCGGCAACACGATACGAGGAACGGCAGGTACCACTCTAACAAGCTGCCCGTCAGCCTCTCAGTTGCAGGAGGGGAGGGCCCAGTGGGGACGAGAGGGCGACCGTTTGAATGGCCAGACCCCAGTCGAGTGTGAAGCCCAGGCTGTCATGATGAACAGGACCTCCCGTAACCTTGCCAAGTAGACTTTCCATTCCCCTCCCACCGGAATCATCCAAAGAAGTCTATAGAAAATAATGCTTCCTAACACTGACCAGAGGCTTGGTAAGATGTTGAGATTAACCACAAATCAAATTTTTAATAGTACTCAAATGTATTTTTTTTTTTTTTTCTATCCACACCCGAGGACATTTTTCCATTTTTTGTTCAGGTAGAGTGGGAGGGAGAGAGAGGAACAGAGAGAGAGAGAGAAACATCGATGTGAAAGAAACACATCGAGTGGCTGCCACTCACACAACCGACCAGGGCTGGGGACAAACTGCAACCGAGGTACACGCCCCTAGCAGGAACCGAACCCGGGTCTCTCAGGACCGCAGGCCGACGCTCTAACCGCTGAACCAAACCGGCCAGGGCTCAAATGTATTTTTATATAAAACTTTGGAGAGAAAAGCAGTTGAGTTTTTGTGTTTTGTTTTTCCCTCTTTTTCTGCTTTACTGGGTTTGTTTTCTGTTTTCACCAGGGCCGTGTGCCTTGGTCAGTGAATGCCCCGCCAGATCCGTGCCTGGACTCGGTCTAGGCGCTGGCTTTGAAGCTGCCGGAGAGCAGAATCAGGGCTTTGCCAGGAGGTGCTCCCAGGCGCTGGCTCGGACTCCCGGGCTGCCAACATCTGGAGCACCTGCTTCTTCAGCTCTTCGCTTACTCTTTCGGAAAGAGCTGTTAAATGATTATTATCGTGGTTGAAGTTTATACGACCTAGATATTCAAACTCTCCTGGTGACAAATAGATCAGAATCATTATTGCTGGCATGTCTGTGATTGAATGGCTAAGTCCATTCATGGCAGCCCAAGGAACAGAGCTCAAGACTGTTCAGGGTCCCCTGGTGCTCGGTACCCCAGTATACCCCTTAGGGACAGCTTCTCTCTACTAACCTGTGACCTGGATAGTGGCTTCTCTTGAATGGGAGCGTTAGAGACACCATCCCAGAACAGAGGTCCTGTGCAAAAACCATTTTTTTGGATCTCCTGATTTGCTGCAGACCACTGATAATCTACTCTGTAGCAAACAAAAATGGCTAAAAGGTGTTAGACTCATAGAATGATAGGGCACCACTGTGATTTGGTGTAAAACACGTTGTACAACGTGAACAATAATGATTACAGTTTATAAAGACTTGTTTTTTTATGTTTACACCTACTTTTTAAACCTTAGATGAGTAGAGAACATAATTGTATGCCTATTCAGTGATTTAAGAATAGCAAAATTGAGCTCTTTTGTCAAATAATTTTTACATAGTCAGTATATATTATTATTTTAAGTACAGAGCTTTTAGTTAAATACCCACCTGTCATTTGTTAAGTAGACTGTTCTGACTCTCTCCCCCTTACTCTCTCTGTTAGAGTTGTTATGCCTTATACATTTAACTACCATGTTTGTCTTACCTTTTGTAGCTCTTAATTACTGAATCTAAACCTTGCTTATGCCATGTTTAGTATAACTATTCATCCTTTATTTACATTTGTGTTTTTATCCATAATCTCTTTAACCGTAAAGCAAGCATGAAAGCCTTTCATTCCTAAATAACGTCAATGGCAAAGCCAAAGGAGTGGGCTACATTAATAGTATTCCCCACCTCTGGATGTGGTCAAGGATACAGGGCAGATAACCACTTGGCATGGTTTGGTAGTGAGAGGATGTAGCTAATAAAATATTTGGACTAATGGGCCTGCCAGGGGACATTACAGAGTCGCCTTCCCCAGCAAACCCTTGACCCAGGAACAATATAAACAGTCCGGAAAGCATGCAGTTGCTGGCAGTTTTGTTGGGGAATTTTCTGAGGGAGCCAGGAGAGACTCTTAGCTTATCTGAAGATCTGAGGACTGGAATTTAGGACAGGAAAGCAAGCTCTCGCAGCTGTTATGGGAGCCACAGGCTGGAGGCTGTGGCCGGTGTAACCGCCCAGGTGAGAAGTCCTTTTCCTGTGCCTCAGGAAGGGCGCTGTTGGAGCCCCCCTCCCCTGTCTGGTTTGTGAGCAAGGATGGGTTGTTCTTGGGTGAGAGAAAGAACCCAGGAGGACGCCAGGAAGAAAATACGATTTCTGAGGTGACAGAAGGAATTGTGGTCAAGAGCTGATGAATGGGAGGATGTGACCCAACCTTTGGAGAAAGAGAAGGAGCGTTGCCGAGAGCAGCAGGCTGTCCTGATGGAGGGTGGCTGGGGACACATGGATGAGCTCCGTCCCACAGTGGTGGGGAGGAGGGATCCTGGCGGAGCATCCAGAAGTCCCTACAGGTGCCATGGCTTGTGTGTGGGGGGGTGTCTCCGATTCCCCCACTCCGCCCCAAGGAGGCACGTTCACACCACAGGAGAGGGACACACTTGCAGGAGAGTTGGTTTGCCTCGACTCAGGTTTGCCGGCCCTCAGGGAGAAATGAGGCTTTAGGGAGGAGGCTGGAGGTGTTCGTTAAAGATCTAGAAGGTCGTACTGAAAGCAGGATGAGTACTGCTATGCTCACCTCTCCTTGCACCCGGGGAAGAGGGACTGCAAAGGAGCCTGCTCCAGCCCCGACTTCCGCCCAGCAAACAGCGTGCCCAGCTCCCAAGCCTCCTTGTGACCTCGGACCAGTGCGGACCAGCCTCGCAGACCACAGGCTGAAGCTGGGGGCCCGCTTGCTGTTCTGGCTCCGAAGGCCCTGGTGTTGAGGCTCCTCTGTTCCCAGGCCTGCCGACCATGTGACAGAGGCACCAGTGCCTGGCTCCGCAGGGACCCGAGGGCAGCTCACAGGATGGGAAGGGAGCAGCTGTCTTGAGACATGATGCCCGACCTGACTGTGAGTGTTAAGCACAATTTAAGGTAGAAAGGGGAAAGGAGAATAGAAACTGAAAACCAAATATGATAAAAGCCAGTCCTTGTGTTATTGGAAAAACAAATAAAAACCTAAGTCAACTTCATGATCAATAATATCAGGGTAGCTGCTTGGAAATAAACCTTGGGACCTCGGCCATCTCCACCTTCACCCAGTCCTCTCTGCGACATTAAACAAGTCCCAGCTGGCATGAGAAGCAGAAGTGAGCCCTTCAGTGGACGTCTTGGTTCTGATGGAGGATGGAGTCGACTTTAAGTCAGACGGTCTTCATCAGTCTGGAATCAGTGAATTCTGTGAGTCTGGACTGGGGACCTGCCAGAAGGCTTTGTGTGTGGCTGTCCTGCCGAGAACCAAGCTGAGAGTGTTTGAAAGTATTTGGGAGACCTTTGGGCCAGGTGGAACTAAGGATGGAGCCTGGACACAGATGACACACCCAGCAGTGGAAGCTTCAGCTCTGCTGCTAGAGGCAGACGGTGAGAGAGAGAGAGGAAGGGAGAGGGAGAGAGAGAAGAACCCATGTGAGAGAGAAACATTAGTCGGTTGCCTCCCATATGCACCCTGATTGGGGAGCTGACTTCAACCTGGCTATGTGCCCTGACTGGGAATCGAACCAGTGACCTTTCAGTGTATGGGATGATGCTCCAATCAACTGAGCAACCTGGCCAGGACTGTGAGAGTTCTTTGTTGGCCCTGCTGGGCACTGCATGCATCTCCTAGCAGGTGGGGAAGCACCAGTGGAGCTACTGCACTCAGTTCTTTTTCTGCCTTAACACAGACAGGTGGGTGATGGGGGAGTCATGTCGGACTTGAGAGTTGGAAAGAAAGTAATGCGTGGCTAGGTGTTGGGAAGACAGATCTCAGGAAGTTCAGATTAAGAAGTGGATTCTTGTGGCTGTGACCATATTGCTGAAAGGGATTATAAAATTATGATCATAAGGTGATAATGGGTGTATTTGTTGAGTGCTTACAGGGTGCCAGACTCTCAGTACTTGATAGGCCTTGTTTCATTAACTCAAGTCAATGGGTATTTATCGAGTAAATGAGTGGAAAGACCTTTTAAATGAGTTTCAGTGTTCAGGGCCACATCTTGAGAAATGGAAATAATTTAGAAATACACATAACCCTTTGAGACAACTTTATGAGGAAGCTGTTACTATTGTGTTAGGCAGAATAATGCTCCCCCCCCACAAAGATGTCCATGTTGTATCCCCATGATCTGTAAACATTAGATTATGGTCATGGGGAATTAAAGTAACAGATGCAGTTTAGTTTGATGATCAGCTGCCCTTAAAATAGCAGGATTATCCTGGATTATCTGGGTGGGCTCAATGTAATCATAAGGGTCCTGAAAAATGGAAGAGGGAGACAGGAGAGTCAGAGTTAAGGGGATACAATGTGAGAAAGACTCAGTTGTCCATTGCCAGCTTTGAAGATGGAGAAAGAGGCCACGGGCCAAGGAATGCAGCAACCCCTAGGGCCTCTAGTGGGGACCAGCTGTACTGACGCCTTGACTTTAGCTAACCCTGTGAGACGCATTTCAGAGCTCTGACCTCCAGAATGGTAAGATAATAAATTTGTGTTATTTTGCCCTGGCCGGTTTGGCTAAGTGGTTAGAGCGTCGGCCCGTGGACCAGAGAGTCCCAGGTTCGGTTCCCGCTAAGGGCACGTACCTCGGTTGCAGTTTATCCCTGGCCCCGGTTGGGGTCCTGTGGGTGGCAACCACTTGATGCGTCTCTCTCACATTGATGTTTTTCTCTCTCTCTCTCTTCCTCCCTCTCTCCCTCCGGCTCTATCTGAAGATAAATGCAAAAATGTCCTCAGGTGAGGATAAAAAAAAAATTTTTTTTTAAAGTTTGCGTTATTTTGTCACTAATTTTGTGGTAATTTGTTACAGCAGCCACAGGAGACTAATAGACTCCTCATCCCAATATGCAAAGGAGGAAACTGGAACACTTAGCTAGAAAGTGGGGGGTGGAACCTATATCCAGCCATCAGATTCCAAAGC